GAGCCCATTACTGGAGCTTTATTTCTATCTTTTCTGTCTGAAGTGATCATATCTGCCTGATGCTTGATGGTCTAGTTACCCAGATGCTTTATTGTCTGGATACCCAGGGTTTTAAACTCTGAATCTGAAGGAACAAATACCTCATTCAGTCATTATAGAGACATTTCCTCTATTGGGTGCCTGGTGTGATGAAATGTTTTTCTGAGATTGCAGTTGAATAAGGTTGAAGCCAAGTAATATGGCTGCTGTTGGGAATAAGAGTGTGTTTTGTGGTTGGTAGACGTGTTATCAGGGATCATACAGCTATGGATCCTGGCTATTCCTTGAGAAGTTGAATATCTTTTTAAGGTATTGATCAATAGAACTGGTGCTCAGATTAAGAACTGCAGTTGTTTCTGCAAGTGCAGTGCTCATAGAATGAATGTGGCTAGGTGTTCACTCATTGGACAGGTCCTTGAATGGGCCAGACTGACTCCTGATTAGAGCTGAGAGGGTCTACAATTGATATATAGGACTGCTGCCAGATACACACCTGTGAGATGTGAGAAATGTCTCTTTTTTTTGTTGTTGTTAGTCTTAATGCTGCCCAGGCTTTAGTGCAATGACATCAGCCTACCTAACAGCAACCTCAAACTCTTGGGTTTAAGTGATCCTCCTGTCTCAACCTTCTTCGAGTCTGAGATTACAAGTGCCTACCACAATGGTTGGTTAATTTTCCCCCACTTTTACTAGAAACGGGGTCTCACTCTTGCTCAGGCTAGTCTCAAACTCTTAAACTCAAGAGATCTTCCCAGCTTGGCCTCTTAAAGTTCCAGGATGACAAGTGTGAGCCACCACATTCAGCCTGTGAGAAATGTCTTTAGGTTTGTCAGTGGGTCCATGTAATGTTCCCCTTCCAAGATTTGGAGGTAGCAGGATTGCTTCTATATCCTGGTTGATAGCAACTGGAGGCTGTTAACAGGCAATTTTAAGATTCACAGTAAGATTATAGTTAGCAGGCTTGCCTCCATGGACACAGATTATCTCCAATGGAGCAAAATTGGTCCTGGACTGTGACTGAGGCCAGGTTACATTGCCAATTGAAGATCACATTTCAGATAAATTTTGGCGGTTCTGAATTCAGGAGCGTAGATGGAAGTTTCTCCCTGTGTGGGCAGGATTTTTTTCATACAATGGCTGAGAGATGAAAACGCTGAGTTTTAGGTTGATTCAGTGCTTAGAGATTGGACCAAGTCTGCAGGCCTGTTTACCTGAGACTCACATGGGTGTGAATCATCCTGTGTATCTTGGCAGATGGTGGTAGTGGCAGAACCTAGGTCACATAAGCTATAGATGCGTCTATAGTACAGTATGGTCATTTTTTATTCTGTTGCCAGGACTATTATTGGAAAGTCTGGTAGTGAGTCATGGTTCCAGCTCTCACAAAATCATCCTCTTTAATCTTGGTCTCTACTAGGGTTTCAGAAACACTGATCTAAATCCCCGAACTCCCAAAAGGCTGCTTCATTTGGGCTGTCACAGTGTGCTGTGGAGGATATGAGTGGGAGAACTCCTATTCCGTCACCTTCCTTCTGTTACTCTCTTACATGTTTCACTTTCTGAAATGTTAGATGTATAATTTGAACGTGGTTCTTAGATTAAAAACTTTTGAAATAAAGTGCTAAATTTACATATGTAAGAAGCAAATTACTAGCGTGCCCCTCAATATTTATTAAAATGATCATAAGCCACTGAGCGTGCATTGCTCTGTGGTTATGGCGCCAGCTACATGCTCCTGAGCTGGTGAGTTCTACCCTGGCCCTGACCTGCTAAACAACAAGAAGAAAACAGCCAGGCATTGTGGCAGGCACCTGTAATTTCAGCTACCTGGGAGACTGAGGCAAGAGAATCGCTTAAGCACAAAAGTTTGAGGTTGCTGTGAGCTGTGATGGTCATAGCACTCTACCGAGGGCAACATAGTCAGATGCTGTCTGAGAAAAAATATATATATATCCGGATGTTGTGGTGGGCGCCTGTAGTGCCAGCTATTAGGGAGGCTGAGGCAAGAGAATTGCTTGCGCTCAAGAATCTGAGGTTTCTGTGGGCTTCAATGCTGCTGCAGTCTACTGAGAATGACAAACAAAAAGAATAAGTAGAAGAATAAATAAAGAAATAAAATGAATGTAAGTTCAAGTTTATTGCAGGAAACAAGGAATCACTAAAATTTATATCTGTCATTCCATTTATTAAATCATAGCAATCATGGGGTACAGTTTGCTGGTTTGATATACAATTTGAAATATTTTCAT